AATTTTCTGTTCAGTTCTTTTACTTCTTCATTTCTTCCCTTTGCTTTAGCATCTCTATACTGGATAGCAAGTTTCAGAGTCAATTCTGACATCCATTTTGGTCTTTTCTTTTTTTGCCTTCTTAATGACCTTTTGCCTTCTTTGTGCATGACATTCTTAATGTCATCCCATAGCTCTTCTGATCTTTGGTCATTAGTGTCTAATGTGTCAAATTTGTTCTTAGAAAATAATTAAAACTAGCTTTCTAGTGTAAAAGGACATTACTACTCTTCAGAAGTTAAACAACATACATGTAATTTGTTTGATATTGAAGATATTGCAAATGAAATGAAAACTCAATATAACACAGTTGGTATCATACAGCTATAAGAGTCCTTAGTGGAAAAAGTAAAGCTTTAAATATTTTTGTTAGAAAAATTATATTTCAAATCAATAATTGAAATTTGCATCTTAAGGAGCTTTAAAAGATAAGCTTATAAGCCACAATGTAAGTAATGATGTCAGAGAATGAACTTATTTTTGTTAGATATGTATTGAAATATTTTGGAGCAAAGACACATAATGTCTCCAACTTTCAAGTGTTCCAAAAATATGAAAAGAGGGATAGAGAATAAGAAAATAATGAGGCAAAATATAAATAAGTAATGTGTCTGAATAATGGACATAAAGGTTGTATTCTTGAATGCAATCTTGTAAACAATTAAAATTTTATCTAAAGAAAAATAAACAACACTTAAAAGAAATCATGGCTAACTTCAAATTTAGAGTTTTAACAACTAGAAGAATAATGTTACTACAGAGAATGTGAAGGGAAAGTACGAAAGGATGAGGGGGAAACATGGGATTGAATTGTGAACCTGTGAACAGTGAGGTGTATCTATTCGGTGAGATATTTTTGCTAGGTAGCAGCTGGAATCATATTTCTGGAAGAAAGACACGTGTCCCATCATTATTATGATGCAGCATCCAAAATTCTGTTGACTAAAAAAAAAAAAAGTGTGTATAACAGTTATTGTTGTTGTTAAGTGCTGTCAAGTCGATTCTGACCCATAACGACCCTGTACAGGGTTTCTGAGGAGAAGCTGGTAAGCTTGAATCACCACACTTGCAGTTCAAACAGCTTTACAGTCTGGCACATTAACCCACAGTGCCACACCAGAACCCCAGAACAGTTAAACCCACATTATTTAAATATGATCACAAACTTATCAGAGGGTGGAAATGTATATACTGAATGACAAAACTCAATGAAACATAATAGCCATAGTTCAGAAAACTGCAGAAAAAAAAAAAAATGGTCTTCAACTAATCACTAACTCAAACTGACAGGTGTCCTTTGTATTTCTATTCTGTGCTTGACATACAAATGGTGAAGTCTGGACTGATGTTAGTGGTCACTTTAATGCATGCAGGGATCAAATGGACATTTCCTACCTTAGAATTCCCATTTTTTAGTTCCTGAAAATACCAGAGAAGATGTAATTAAATTATCCTTTAGAAGTAGCTCTCAAGACTGCAGACAGTTCTGCATTTTAACAGACAAGCTTAATTGACTCCTGTTCTTAAATGACTGATGTGTGGCCTCTCTGGTAATGCTGAATGCCACCTGTTCTGTAATCATTCTAATCATCAAATTGCCACATGGCACTAGTTATGGATGCTACCAGTCTGTAACATGACAGAAATTTTAAGGGCCATTTGTTTTGCTATTTATATTGTACTGATGAATTAAATTTGAGGAGATAGTCATGGTCCAAAGGGGACTAATTTAGGGTAGGGATGGACTATCCTACCTCTTAGATCATGCTTTCCTAACACCTAGAAATCACAGAGCCCTTCTACCAAATCAAGGAAAATGATTTTGAATTCTAGCATGGCCCAACTAAATGTAAATTGGACTGACATGTTTTTTTCTTTTCTTTTCTTCCTCTAAAATAATATGTCTTATTATAAGACTGCAACGTTACTCACACAAATAACTATTTTCAGAAGTAGTTGCTACAAGGACGCTGCATACCAGAGGGGATCTTTTCAAATTTCAGTATACAATGCAAATTCATTTCTTAGATCACAGCCCACAGCTGTGTAGTAAGTGCATATGCTTTTGGCTACGGTTATGATAAATTCTTTGAAGAAAGCCTCCTCCGTATGCATATCAGTCAAGAAGTACAAAAAACAGTCCATGAATTCCACTCCATTAGGTTGGTGCTCTCTGCTTTCACACACTGTAGTTTCATACTCATCTGGAAACTTTCACAATCATATTTATTTTAAGAGAATCTGTTTCACTATGTATCGAAAATAACAGCATAGTACATAAAACAAGTACCTGTGGAAATAAGAGATGCTACTTCTATCATTGAAGCACAGTGATAAAACAGACCCCACTTTAAACCAAAATTGTTTATGGAAAACTACCTTGCTATTATCTTTCTCTTATACCAGGTAGTTTTAGCACTAATCTTGACCCCACAGTACAATTCAGTTTATTTTCTCTTCCAACAATACTACTGGTAAATGTAAGGCTTTAAGTAATGCAAGAGAGAAACTTAATCAAATCATGTTTCCATGAGTTCAGAGTGTATTTTACAACGGCATTGATAATTTTTATGCAGTCACCAGGCTGCAACTAAATTAATTATTTTAATCATCTTACACAATATTTACTAAAGGAAAATTGTGATATAAAACATATTTTCTGCTTTGTGAAAATAAAACTCTAGTAATTATATGGTGCATTTACTACATAAAAACTATGTCTAGTTTAATTAAAAAAGGCACATCTATTATTTGTTTCGATGGCAACCCTACATTTTTAATGCTACTAAATAGTAAAATTTTATTTCCAACTAATTATACTAGATTCTTTACATTATTTTTGAATGGAAAATGACTGACAATCATTCACACTGTAGTGACAATATTACATGACTGAAGTTAAATTCTGATTTTTTAAAAATTAAACTGAAGTTTCATAAATATATAAGAAAAGAAATGGAAATCTACTAAGAAAGGCAATGGTCAGATGGACTAATACAAAAAGTTACTAAGATGAAGCAATTTCACAGGGTGAGCCTCTGGGAGGTCATCATTGTTGGGTAGGAAACACAGGGCTTGCTGGGAGCCTAATAGGGGAACTGGGAGCCTGCGTTCAGATTTCCAATCTAAGCGTTTTAGCCAGTACACCATGTTCATGGATCTGTGTATGCTTGCTTGCTTTACTTTTACTTGTTTAATCTTGTGACTCAAATTTCTTTATTTAAACTTAGGATGATGTCTCTAATTTTTGTTATGAAAGATGTTTTCTCATTCTCTCTTGGACTACTTTAGAAATTGCAAAGAGGGATGTATATAGATAGATAGGGAGAGAGAGAGAGAATCTGTGTCTTTTACAAAAGAACTGAATAAAAAGTAGATGTTAAAAATTATAAACAATAGAAAATAATTATTTCAAATTTCAGCCAGGTACTTCATTTAAGACTAGAAGTGAACTCAAGTTAGACTAACACTTGTTTTTATTTTAATACATTTTCCATCAATTTGAAAATTGTATGAAAAAGGGCATATTTACTAATACTAATAATTGTTTTTTCCCAAATTCAAAATAATAACATTCATTATGAAGAAATAAAAACACATTATAGAGTCAACTTCCCTGAGTAATAGAAAAAGCAGTTTTTCCATAGTGTGATCATCTTCATTTATCTTCAGTAAGGCTTATAAGAATGTGTTGTGTACAGGACATTAGGCTGGAAAGATTTATATAGATCTAGTACCAGCCTTAAAGGAGACCGGTGGCAAGTAGGTTGTGATTTGGGCTAAGAATTTCAAGGTCAGCAGTTTGAACTCACTGGCTACTACATAGGAGAAAAATGAGGCTGTCTGCTCCCTTAACAATTCACAGCTTTAAATACTCTGTACAGGGTCTCTGTGAGTCAGAACTGACTCAGAGGCACACAACAACCACCACCTGCTTTGGGGTTATTTTTGTTGTTAAATGCTTTCAAATCTGTTCCTAATCACACCAACCCTGTATAAGGTTTCCGAGGAGCAACTGGTGAGCTTGACCTGCAACATTGTGGTTCAAACCAACTTTGCAGTCTAGCCCATTAACCCACAGGACCACACCAGGATTATTTACCACCTGCCTTAAAGATGGTTAAAATCTTGACTTATTTATAAAGGAGAGTGATGCCAATGAAGATCTGGTTACAATGAGAGGGATTGAAGATAATAATAATAATGCTAAACATAACAACAACAACAACAGAAATCCAAACCCGCTGTAATACTGTTGATTCCCACCCACAGCACCCCTATAGGACAGAGTAGAATTGCCCCATAGGTTTATCAAGGATACAAATCTTTACAGAAACAGACTACCATGCCTTTTACCATGGGGTGGCTGGTGGATTCAAACTGGTAACCAGTGCTTAACCATCAGGACTCCTTAAACGGAGAATGTTGTTGTTGTTGTTAAGTGTTATTTAGTTGATTCTGACTCATAGCTCCCCTTTGTAGGGTTCCAAGGAGTAGTTGGTGGGTTTGAACTGCTGATGTTTCTGTTAGCAGTCCAGTGCTTATTTTATAGGAGTAGAACTATAAACAGAATGTTGTTGTTTTTATGTACTGTCGAGTCAGTTCCAACCTATAGTTAGCCTGTATAGGATTCCCAAGGAGCAACTGGTGAGCTTGAATTTCCGACCTTGTGGTTAAAATATACTTTGCAATCCAGTGCATTCATCTACAGCAGCACACCAGGACTCAACAAACAAAATAGTAAGAGCTAAAAAATAGTAAAGTCACCCCTTTTGCCCACCGCTTCCCGCCGCAGACTTGGTTGTCTACTCTACGGCCCTCTAGCCCAGCCCGTCCTGGCCTGCTATGCTTGGAGGCCGAGGAGAAGGAACTCCCGGGCTTCGCTGCAGCCTTGAGGAGCTACCAAGACGTTGCGGTTGCGGGCACGTTCCTCGCTGTAGAGTTCACCACTTTGACAGAATATTTGCATCTGCTGCAGGCTGCGGCCCAGGCTCTCAATCCATTAGGCTCGTCAGCGATGTTCTACCTGGCTGCGGCCATGTCAGATTTCTATGTTCCTGTCTCTGAAATGCCTGAACACAAGATCCAGTCATCTAGGGGCCCACTGCAGATAACAATGAAGATGGTGCCAAAAATGCTTTCACCTTTGGTTAAAGACTGGGCTCCTAAAGCATTTATCATTTCCTTTAAGTTGGAGACTGACCCCTCTATTGTAATTGAT